CTTTCCAGTCAGGCTTTAGGCCCCACCACAGCACTGAGACAGCACTGATCAAGGTGACAAATGATATCCACCTAAACATAGACGCAGGCAGGGTCTTAGTCTGAGCTTTGCTGGACCTAAACACTGCCTTTGACACAGTGGACCATGTGACCTTATTAGAGAGGTTGGAAGACTGGGTGGGAGTCTCTGGCACTGCTCTAGACTGGTTTAGGTCCTATCTGGAGGACAGGACGTACTTTGTTGAGACTGGTAACTGTGTCTCAGACTGAATGGCCGTGACCTGTGGGGTTCCTCAGGGGTCGACCCTGGGACCCCTCTTGTTCAATCTCTACATGTTTCCATTAGGTCAGCTGATACGCAGCCATAATGTGTCCTACCACAGTTATGCAGATGACGCTCAGATCTATGTGTCACTGACGGCAGGTGAACATGGGCCTGGAGATTCACTCTGTGGCTGCATTGAACAGATCAGTGTGTGGATGCAAAACAACTTTCTCCAGCTAAACTCAGACAAAACTGAAACTCATTGTCTTTGGCCCACAGAAACAAAGAGAAAGTGTCATCAGTCACCTTGAGACTCTCGTTCTAAAACCTAAAAGTCAGGTTAGAAATCTAATGGTGATAACGGACTCAGACCTGAACTTTAACAGCCACATTAAGTCAATAACATTAGCAGCTTTTTACCATCTAAAAAGCATTGCCAAAATCAGAGGTATAGTGTCTAAACTAAACCAACCAGAGAGACTAATCCATGGGTTTGTCTCCAGCAGGTCAGACTACTGTAACGGCTGCTCACTGGCCTCTCTGAACGAGCTGTAAGACGGCTGCAGTTTATCAAGAACGCTGCTGCTCCAGTCCTGACTGAAGCACTTTGAATTGCCTCAGATACGAATTGTGCTATACAAATAAACCTGCCTAGCCTTAAAAAAATATATTTTAAAATAATGTGAAAATACTTATTTGGTTTATTAGCTCTCAACTTGTCTGTTTCTGCTGCCAATCAATCAATAACTTAAAAACCTTTGATTGTGGAGGAAAAGTTGATTCCAGGAACTAAATGCAGTTTGTTGGTTGAACATGATTCCAGTGGAAGTTGTCTGAAGTCAGGTTGATGCAACAGTTTCTTGTTGAGGCCAGAC